GCATTCCTGTTTGTCCTCTAATTCCTGGTGGTCCTTGAAGTCCTGGAGCACCATCTTTCCCTGGCATACCAGGGAGTCCTATTTGACCTTCTGGACCTCGTTCTCCCGAAGGTCCTCTCTCACCTGGCTATTTATTAATATTGTCATATGTAACAATAACTTTACAAATTTTAGTATAATAAGATATAAGAAATATCTTTCATTTTAATAATCATTCTGAATACTCACTAAACCTGGTATACCTGGTAAACCTCTAGGTCCACTAACACCTGGACTACCGATAGTTTCCAAAACACTATTTGTGCTTAACATATCTGCAACTGTTCCAGGTGGTCCTGCTGGCCCAGAAGGACCTGGAGGACCTGCTGGACCTGGTCGTCCTTCTAATCCAGGAATTCCGGCGGCTCCAGATAAGCCAGGCGCACCCTAAAGAAGCGCATTTCTACTTTTTTGAACTCTTTAAATTGCAAAAATTAAACGAAAGATTAAATGTTAAATATAATACATTTATTTTATTTAATGATAGGGAAAAAAGAGGTCCTTGTTCTCCTTGTTGACCCTTGTCACCTTTTTCTCCGGGTCGTCCATCAAATCCTGTTAGTCCTGGTTTTCCAGCCGGTCCTTCTATTCCACGAGGACCTGGAGTACCCGGTTCTCCAGGCAAACCAGGTAAACCCTATTATAACAATTAAATAAAATTTCTATTCCAATATTCAAGATAATCAAAAGAATCAAAACAAATCCTAAAACAATATACAAATTTATCCAACTTCTAACATTATTATGATAAAGTGTAACTTAGCGTTCAAATTAAAATGTAAATTTACTTGTAACCCTGGAGAACCAGGAGGACCTGGAGAACCATTTTTTCCTTGTAGTCCCGGAAGACCTGCTGGACCAATAAGACCAGGTTCTCCTTTTATTCCGGGTAAACCATCTTCTCCAGGTGGACCGGGAGAACCTTCAGGGCCAGGTGGCCCTGGTATTACGGAACCAACTATTGAACCTGGTAAACCTGAACAAATAAATTAAATATATTAACAATTAGTATGAAAATATTAATTTTTTATTGCATCTTACACACCATCACGACCAGGTTCTCCAGGTTCTCCTTTTGGACCTTCAATTCCGGGTAATCCAGGTGCACCGATTTGACCTTGTGAACCTGGTAATCCCTGAGGACCTGGTACACCCGGAAATCCTATTTCTCCTTTAGGACCAGGTAAGCCAGGAAGAGCTGGTTTTCCTTCTAAACCTGGTAACCCGTCTTGTCCTGGATAACCCCTCTCTCCAGGTTCACCTTAAATTTTAGTATATCATATTTAGATATTATTATTTCAACTTTCAAAGTATAGTTATATCCCTTATGTCGAAAATTTTTAAATCTAATAACTCTTCATAGTTTTTAACAATACTTAGAAATTCTAACTGTGCAAAATTCTTAATAACTTTGCTTAAAACTTATCTCATAACTTGTTACAAAAGTAACTAGGTTATTTAGTACTTAGTAGCTCAGTTTTTATATTTTGTAGAAATTTACATCATCAAATATTGGTTTCATAAAAGTAAACAACGTATTTGAGTCATCAAAGTAAATAATGGAACAAAACAACTAGGATATGTACAGTAATCGCTAGTTTATTGTCAAACGTTTAAACTAAATCATTTAATGACAAAGCATTTCGAATGTCCGTAATTAGATACACGTTAAGAACTGCTAGTCACTTCTATCACGCGAATGGCATACATTTAATGATTAATAAAAGGAATGGGTTTACGGGTATTGCAGCAGATTGCAACAAATTGATTTACAATCACTTCGAATAGCTGTATTTAGGTCGACGTCGATATGGATGACAATATATCGTTTTCGTGTCACCCATCAGAGAGCACTAGAATTATAGCTTTTGATAATTGTGCTTTTGACATTAATAGCGAAATTATGAAGTCCCGAAAAAGTGTCATGAAAAACTTGTCATAAAAACGATATAGAACACATTTTCGATTTTACGAATAATTTGCCTATTTAATTATCCATATAGCGTAAATTTGACATATACGTATAATAAAAAATATGGAATTCATGATTCATAAATTTTACAAGTTCACGAGAAAAGGACGTAGACGAAAAAAGGGAAAATAAAATAAATGGAAGTATGTATGTTGGTTAGACAGTTGAAACTATTAAAACGATTGCGCTCGACCTTTAAATATGAGGCTGTTGACACACTTTATTGGGAGGAATTATTCCTTTAAAAGTGTCAATGACCTTTTGTAATATTGCAATTAACGCATTAACTGATTTGAAGGGTACGAGATTCATTTACTGTTCAACACTAGAGAATGAAAGAAGGATATATAACTACACTACAATCTCGTCAAGAGCAAAATGTTCGTTTCCACATCACAAATTATTTTCAACAAAGGCACAAATCCCTTTTGTCATTGAACAGCTGTTAAACGACCAACAGATTTAACAGCTGTTTCGTTGAAGAAACTAAGGATTAAGCATTCTGCGTTCACTGACAGAAGAATAATGCGTTTAACGATGAATCACCACGCGCACGTGGACACCCACAACTCCACGCGATTTTCTAACAAGATTAAATTAGTTTACGCGCCAGTTCAAGGATTACTTATCGGATAAATCCACGTAATCGCATTTAACACTAACGTTTAACTTTTGACACGACCACAATAATCCTCAAATGTTGAAGCTTTAAAAATAGATATCGAGCTACTACCTTTTTGACCTTGCTCGCCTTTATCCCCGCGTTCTCCTCGATCACCATTAGAACCCTTCTGACCCGGATATCCTTGGGGACCCGGTGGCCCTATGAATCGTGGTAAAACGTCATGATAGTCACTGATATTTCCTGGTCTACCTGGGAGCCCTGGATATCCCCGTGGTCCCGGAAGACCTTGATCTCCCTTTAATCCTGGAAACCCCATGTCACCCTATAGGAAGCAAACTAACTGTAAATACCGTAAATGACATTTCCTGATTATATTGATCTTTTCAAATGATATATATGGTAAAACAATAAACCCACTCTTTCACCGCGTTCTCCTTTGGGGCCCACTGGTCCTATTGGCCCAATAGACCCTTTAGGACCCGGATTACCGGGAAATCCCCGCGCTCCAGTGAATCCTTGAGGACCCTAACAGGTTTCATGACAATGTAGCAATAAAGTACATACTAGATATCCCTATGTACTGTTATTTTAAAAGTTTTTATAGACACGCACTATTTTTCCTTGTTCACCAGGTGGCCCACGCAGCCCTGGTCGTCCAGGTAGGCCTGTTTCTCCCATTGTTCCAGGTGGCCCAGATAACCCGACTAGGCCAGGTAAACCCTGAACAAATATTTTTATATTGATTAAACTTGGTTTAATAACACCCATAAAAGAATAAATATTATGATTGAACATCAAATTCCAGTAGGTTAATTGTATTAGAACAGTGAAGTATAGAAGGAAGTAACATTTATGTCGTATTTCTAACATTTTGGAATATTCTTAAAAAAGTGAAAAAGCACTAGGTTATCATTTATGGAGTATTGCAAATTTAATGTCAAAGAGTCCACTTTATAAAGAGGGAACCAAGTTACTTTATGTAAATGAATTACTTTGAAAGCATCAAGTGTCGAATCAGACGAGAATATTTATCAATAAAGAGAAGTCCCCACTTACATTAGTGCCATTAATTCCAGGAGGCCCCCGTGGACAGATAATTTCACAACCAAGTTTCCTCGGAGGTAATAAAGGGTTGCTAAGGCTCTTCTGCAATTACGTTAATTACAATCGTGGGATCCTAATGGATTGCGAAGTTGTGTAAAATATAGAGACCTACCGGCAATTCCTCACAGGTCTCTCTCTCCGGTCTCGTAGGATCGCAGTTTAAGACCATCCACTGTATATCGATCTATAGACATTTTCAAGAGGTAGCAAACATTACGTCGAGAGCAAGAGTTAAAAGTGCGAACAGTCAGATACTTGAAACGTGTTTCACACTATGTACAGCAAAATCTCCGTTATATGAACACTCGTTATATAAACGTTCTTTTATACGAATAGTACATTATCAATAACAGTATTCTATATAAACATAAAGTGTTTATTTTCTATTGTAAGATAAAATCATACAATGATTCAGTGATGAAATTGGCATAGTAATATCGGTAATTAAAACAAGATGTGATATAATTAAGAATTATAAATTTTATTTTTTTAATTTCATTAGAAACGAAGCTAGTTCTATTATATAAAAATTCTCTTATGTGAGTACTGTTGTCTTCCAATTAATTCATATAATGGAGGTTCTAGGAGGTTCTAAGAGTAGTGGCACCTTCGAAAAGTCTTCGTGAAAAGAAACTTCACTGGAGACGATAAATTGTTTTTTCAAAAGATTTTATCAAAAACATCGATTAACTCGCTAACATGTCACGTTAATACACAACAGGGTTATTTTTAGTTTTTGTCGTTTCTTCACGAAACTAGGCTAATCATACGGTCATCGCGTTTTTGTGTGCGCGTTACGCTTGTACATTTTAAGCGTAGCACTAAATCTAGCTTGTCCCAGTTACGTCTTAGCCTCTTTCATTATATAGTGTTTATTAATTAAGTGCTTCTTAATTGCCGCATGCGACGGATACATTTATCTCACAAGAAGCAACGCGAACATCCCCCGCGGATGCGTCGCACAGAGTTCTCTGAAATTCACGCGCGCAAGCTTCTTTCATCTTACAATCGCACGCTTTCCGATCTTCATCGTGTTCCATCGAAATTGAAAGATCTGAAAGACTGTTCCGACATTCTAGGAACATTCATTAGAACGCTTTATGAGATACAAGTCATGTGGTTATATAAGAAGAACCCTGTGTCTGGAACGGCTCTATGTTAGAGATTAATTATATGTCTGACAGTTTTTGCTTTGCGAACTGCTGAGAGAATTAGAAATTATGTCAAGTAGAAGGACACTTATTTTTTGGATACCTTTTCCTTGGATAACATATTTTTTTGTAATTTTTAAATATTATTGGATAAGAAGATAATACGATTTAATATTATTTCAGTAGTAATCTAAATGATCATTATTTAACAGTGTTATTTTTAAATATCTTTAAATATTTCAATTTACTCTATAAAATTCTATAATTATCGTTGCATTTGCACAGAATAATTGTTTCAAACTTCTGTTTCTATATGTATTGAAAAATTTAATTGGAAAAATTATAAATGTATAGAGTAAAGAAATTTTTTGTAATATAAATCGATAATATCATCAGTAATATCCATTATTGCATAAAATATATTTGTAACAGCAAATTCATAATTAAATTAGCCAATTTCGAATTCGTGTGATTTATATAATTTATAGAATATTGGTCTATCTCATCAGAAATTAATTAAGCATAATTAAAGCTTCTACGTGCAATCATTTCATAATTTACTAAAAGCTAAAATATCTACCGTATCCATTATCAAAATGACCCCATTATAATTAATCAATAGTCATTAAGGTGCCCTTTTTAGACAAAAATTACCCTTTTATATAATTTTCTAGCATTATAAAAATTAATTATAAAAATAATTGTAATACCAATCGATTTCAAATCTAGGTTCGCCATTTGTCATTGTTTCGCGAAAAAAACACGATAGAGCAACACAGACAGTATATCAACGACAAAATAGCCGATAATTATGTGATCGATCGAAACTGACTAATGAGCACCGAGCTCCCTGTTAACAACCTTACCGATCTTATCTCCCTCGTGCACAATGTACGCAATGTCAGAGGTGAACGTTCGAACTTACCGGTGTAGTAAGCTTGCTGTGCGACATCTTCGATATCGAGATCTCACCATCCACTTTGATCGGCCCTCGTAGTTTCACGTCTTGCGTGCCAATGTACTCGCAATCGAGATATATCACCAGCTTATCCTTGAAGGCTCCGATATTAATTTTGTGCCAATTCTTGTCGAACATCTGTTTCAATCAAACGTTATGCCCAATTTTGTGCCAGCAAAGTATTGAACTTACAGTAACAAGACTTGTTAGCTTAACAAGATTTCAAATGAAATATTGATATTTATATATAAATACTATGAAAATATTTATTATTTATAATATGTACCGAAGAGCACTAACGTTCTACTATGTTTTCAGAAACTACGAGTGAAATATGAATGGATGTTATGGTATCTACTAAAGCATTCAAGAAATTCGATGTGTGTAGGATTGACAACAGTTGGTGACTATATATATTGGAATCAAAGATCGAACGTCATCAACAAACAGCAAGAAGCAATTTTCCATCAATGAAACCTTCACTTCATTAATACTAGAACTACCAACCCCTAATTATGTCTAAACATTGTGGATATAGGTAATAATAATTAAAGTATTGTTAAAAATAATGAAATATATATACCTACCTATGATCAACAATAATCAGATATATGTATAATAGCAGTTCTCAACTTTTTTTCTTATATACCATGGACTAATATGTGATCAAATCATGTACAACCTTGTAAGTAGTATCTGTACATTATACTATATATAATTTGTGACACAGGTTGAGAACCTTTGATATACATATATAATTTTATATAATATATAATTTCAATAAAAATTCACATTAATTTTTCCAGAAGTAGCTGCTTACATCCAGTAGCTGCAAAGGCAAGAAATCTGAAACCAGTCATTTTAACCTGGTAGTTCTAATAGAAAGAACGTCTCCTCGTAATTAATTCGCGTTGCGATTAACGTTTCTTTGAACCGATGCAAATGTCATGACGTATGGTATCCTCATCAGTCTTCAGCAACGCGTTCTTTAGCGTCACCCTGAAAAACCTTTAAACTATTTCGCACGAGGATTACGTAATGACCCGTGACACGATTTTCACGTGCTCCAACGACAGCATCTAATTCATACGCCAATGCGGCCTTGCGATTGATATTTGACAGATTCGAGTTTTCATACAGCAATACCAAGCAGTTTTAATCATCGCGCGATCCACGATGACACTTTTAAGAAGTGGCGACGAGATTAAGCATGCCCTGAGCTGACAGCCCTTGAGCTGATTAGTAGAGATGCACTCCACTTACGAATATTTCGAAATTTTTCTCGAATAAATGAATTGGAACGGCATAGATTTTCAGTTTAAATGATATATGGAAATTGATTGTTTGGTTTATTGAATTGATAGATTGATGGATTGAGGATGCAATCGGTGAAATGTTATATTGCTGTCTCGTGGAATTGATAACATGGAGGTGTTGATTTTGAGTTCAAATTATTTTTTGACGGAGTAATTCGTTTGTGAATTTTGCAAGACGCATTTAAAACAGCTTTATAGCCAAATTATATATATTAATAACGTACAAATTATATTTTGTTAAGTACTTATTGTTAATTCAATTGAAAGTAGAATATTAATTGGCGGATTAAAATTCAAAAATTCATGGGAGATGATACATACATGTTTCACTGTGTGCTTATCATTGACACAACTGAAAATAAAATACTAATAGAAGGATTAAAACCAAAAAGCACGACTAAGAAAGAGCACACGCCAAAAAATAAATGAACGTTTAAAAAGATTTGAACGAAAAGAAAGAAGATTCCAAGAGGTACTCTAATTTTCTGCCACATATTTTAAAAATTGATCTGATAATCCCAATTACTATAGAAACCTCGAACAATGCTGGAAAAAAGCTGAAATTTACTCACACGTTCGGCTGAGAACGACACCGTCTGCAGTTCCCCAGTCTGACTCTTCATGGATAAATCCAGAGTCTGACTTTTTGGGTTCATTGCGATTAAAAACTGGGGCTCGTTTTCCATGTCGACGATTCTGATAATGTGCCAAGTATACTTTGGCGGTTTTCTGGCTCTGAATGTGCAGGCCGCGCTGAATTCCTCTGGCAATCCGTTTGGAAGTATATTTCTAACGAACAATACAAAAAAGACTGTATAGCGGACGTAACTATCGGATCGGCAATTTTCGAAAATTGTAAGTGTTGGAAAATACAGTCGAGAATATAATCGATAAATCGTACTTTGTTGGCAAGGTGACATCAGTGTCTCTTTCCAATCTGTAGGCTATTTGCATGCGATTGCTACCTCTGACTCGCGTCACGCCAGTGTAATGTGTCTTCAGAAGATCCAGTTTCAGCTTGCTGATAAAGTCGAATGTTTGAAGATCGTCCTCTCCCTGTTTGTAGCCCTCGCATGGCCCGTGCGGGGAATCCAGGATTGTTTCCTCGCCGTAAGTATATTCTAAGAAAACACAAAATGCCAAATTGTGAATATAGCAAATTCTCTAACTTTTCAATTAAATAACGTATACTCTTTTTGAATTTTTGCAGTTATTTTATATAGAAATTGTCTGAAAGTAAGTATACAATAGATAACAGTTTAACAATTAGTTTAGCAATAGATATCTATGATTATTGACACTAATAATTTTAGGTATAACTGATAGTTTGGAATCCTGAATAAATATTTTCAATATGAAATAGAAAGAATATTATATCTACGATAAAAAGGAAAAAATATAAACGATGGAGGTGAAAGAAGGTATGAATGTCACACAGAAAGCCGATAAACTGCATAAAAAAGCTGAATGCCTATGAAGTGAGAGTGTGAGATGACATCGTTAAGAAGAAATGCCCTATTGTTACACAACACAATAAGTTTCTACTTGAGTCATTCCGATCAAACGATGCTGATGGTTCTATTCCCACGACAGTATAAATTAACCACATGTATTCTCCAAATACAACACCATCGTCCATTGTATGTTTCCTTCTACATCGATGAATCTCTAAATCACGTATGACCTTTCACTTTCATCTCGTAAAAGTAACTGATAGAATTTTTAGAAAGATAAATTTACGAGTTACTTTAAAACTAAAATAATAATTGAGAAACGTTTGACTTTTACTAATTATTTTTACTGTAATATCTTTATTAGTCCGAAACATTTAATTTACAAAGATATACGAATTGTAAAGCAAAGAACACACTGTAGAGTGCTTCGACTGCTGTTTTGCATATCGAGTTGCATTGTTGTCGGGACGCAGTACGCGAGGAGAATGCATTTCTGAATCGAATGTCGCAGCAACTTGCTACATAAACATTTTGTTAATTTATATCCGGCATGACATGTATTACCGTTGGTTTTGTTACAGGGAAACAGTAAATTGGTACAAATAACTTCTCCATACTTGATTGACTGTTATGTACAGTTATAAGCCAACATCTGTATTTAGAATTATGGTTTTATAACTAATGGCAAATCGTAAACATAATTGCCCAGGTAAAATAACATAGGTATTTACACTCTATACTTTACATATAACGATAAAATATTTAGAAGTAAATAAAAGAAAATATTTTTGTATATTCAGTGAATAAATATGCTTTAATAATCAACAGCATGCTAGTGGAGTATGAACTATAATAAATTATTTGCTTCAAGGTGAGAAAATATTTTAAGCAATAAATAAATATAGTAGTAGTACTTTAATAGAATATGAAACACTATTTATTTTAAAGTTGTCCTCTCCTTTTTCAGCAAATACAAAAATAGACAGACTCAACTCGTTCTTTCTGAAATTTAGCCATCTATAAACGTCGAAAGGACACGTCATCGATGACTGCTCGTAATCTATTTGCTTTTGACCACTTCCTCCGAAGATTTAAGCACTAAGCATCCCACTATCGTTGGCACTCAACACAACCTGTTTGAAATACATCTTCTTTCAAATCTGTGAGTTCTACACGTTTCTTATGTTCTTTTTTCTTCTATATTATATTATTGCTATATATTATTACGTTATCGTAAATACTGTATATATTGCAAAGATATTAGTGAGGAACAAATAAGGAAAATTTGTTCTTTTTCATATTAGTATAGCAAACTTATAAACTTACGCGTACGTGTGAATTGCACAAGCACGAATATCCATATTGAGAAGTACATTCGCAGATTCAAGTTGGTCCTATAACAAAAAAAGTATTGTTTCGACTTCATACAAATATGAAATGCAAATATCTCATTTATATTTCTATGTGTTCTCTATACGAAACAGTTTTACTGTAAGTAAAGAACTATTCTAATATTACTATTCTAATATTAACTATAGGCATTATAATAGGTTTCTATTTATTTTTATGTCTATTTGTCTATTTATTTTTATATTATTAAGTAATATATTTACAATATTGTATTCCTCTACACTTGTATGCATATTTTATTATAAATTCCACGTAGCTACATAAAATGAAAACTGAAAAGTAAACGTTAAAGATTAATGAGGTATATGCTGTTAATAACAAATAATATTGTTATAAAAAAATGTTATCGATCCTGCCAGGATTCGAACCTGGAATCTTCTGATCCGTAGTCAGACGCGTTATCCGTTGCGCCACAGGACCACGCTGATTACGAGCTTTATGCTTTCTATGATAAGTATAATTTTATAATAATATTCAAGGTATTTTTATGTTTTAATTTTTATATTAAATTTTTTCCTCAGATAATATTTAAAAAATAACAATCTTCAATACAAATAATCAATAAAATTTTGTCTTTCGTTAAAATTAAATTTTGTACTACAATTTATATTAATATTTAAATAATTATTATCGTTACATCTATAGTTAATAAACATTCATATAAAATGGTACATAATTAGTTTATTGTATAACGTGATAATTACATTTATATGCCATATTAATGTTTGATTAATGTTTGCTTATTATGCATGTGAAAGAATACAAACTTCTGTATATAATCGTCACTTATTCTGTCTGCATTATACATCTGTTTATGGTAAAGCGTGTTTAGTCTGGCATACGGTGCTCGCAGTGGTTATCAATCACATAAGTTGATACAACTTGATAACAAGCAATAATCAAATTTCGTTAAATGTAACTTTTAAAATATTACAGAAATAAGTTTAATTTAAAGAGGTATAAATATATAACACAAGAGTATGTGCATAATAATTCTATTTTAATGTCTACGTACTCACGTCGTACAAAATTTAACAGATAAATTTTTATATTTTATTGGCACATATTCCAGATATTTTTTAAATATTTAGGTACATGTATTTTCCTTTAACATTAAAGAACAATGATGATTGCAATATATTTAATCATAACATAAATAAATAAATTCATATAGTATAAATAGTTCTTAATGAAAACTTTATTTCTTATTGTTTATAAATTAAACAATAGATAATAAACATCACATTTTCTTTAGGTGTAAAGACAAAAGGTACATGATGGCGGTGGCAAGAAAATAGTTCATTAGATTTAGATACGTTTCTTGTTTATTAAAAAATAATATATTACATTAGGATATATTATATTTTGTCTGTGATAAGTGAAGCAACTGCATCACTATTCTTTTTCGTTGCCGACAAGATAAATAGAGTGTAGCCGACTGCAGTATAGTGTAAGTGAGGGCCACACGGAATAAAATAGGGCTGGGGATTGGCTGTGTTATATACAATCTTGCTTCCTATTGGTCGAACCTCGTGGGTCTTATCGGATTACTTGACTACGCTACGTGGCGTTGCCATACTGCGTTGTTGGGTCTACCAAAGTTTCAGTTTTCTGTGTTATGTTGAATTGAATTGAAGACAAAAAGTTATACCATGCGTTCCAATATTTTTACTAATTAGATGGGAATTATTATTTTCGTAATTATAATTGAAATATTGATTTTATAAACGTAATAGTGGGGATAGGAAATGCATTCGGCAACATTGGAATTGCGTCATCTGGTGCAACTTTGCGTGTTTACGCCATTAAGTGTTTCGTGGACTTAAAATCGCCCTTTCACACTTTTTGTTGAAGGTTTTAGTCCTTTTCCGGATAATTTAATGCAATGAAGAAGAAAAATCTCTATCAGTTAGAAGATTCGTACATTGTGAGCGATATTTTTTTCCTGTAAGTACTGAATCTTAGTGAAATATATTTTTATATTTTTAAGTATTTGTTGTATGTAATAAGATAACGTAAGAATAACAAAATGTATTCCAAGAGTATTTCTGTATTGAAACAAAAGTGAAGAAAATATTTAGAAAAAGTAACCAATTTTTTTATTTTGTCTTTATAAAATATATAACGTAGGAGTTAGAATTGCTTCACTTATAATTAAATGTAATGTTCTTACGGAAATGATTAATATAAAAATGTATATTGCAACTAGTTGCTTACTATCTTTTATGTTACTCATGATATCTGTTCACATCTGTTTAATAATAAATGATACTAATTGTTAGAATTTGATATATAAAGAATTTTTCTATGATTAGAATGAATAGAACAAAAAAAATATTAAAATATATTAAACTTATTATTATACAATTTATTTATAAATTTCGAGCATCTAACTAATTTATTTTAATAGGTGGTATTATTTTTGCAGATCATATAATTTTTTAAATTATGGTGATATTATTGTTTTTCACATTAATATTACCGCGAATAATCGCGATTATAAATAAATAAATGTAACAACATAAGAATAAAAATATGTTAAAAATAAAATATAGCTGTTGCTATTTTTGCAGTTTGTATACTTACTATAATTAGAAAAAGCTTGCCTATGTTAATAAACTTCACACCGCGATTTATTAAACACCCTGTATGAACTGAAGGTACATTACGAATAACTCTTAAAGATATTCTCACAAATTAAAATAATATCATTACATTAAAATAATACCACCGAACTTTTATACTAAATTCATCATATTTCATATTTTCATTAACTTTAAATTAAAAATAAACAAAGCTCAGACTAGAAATTTCTACTTCCAAAGAGGTCCGTGACTTTTAGAAGATGGCGCCACATATACAACGGGATTACCACAGTATCGGAGATCCAGGCAGATACCCGTTGAGGACTCTCAGGCATGGTGAAAAAAATTTTTTACCACCACATAATTTTGACGTATCGAAAATAAAAGGGAAAGAAATCTGAATACGAATACAAGATGTCAAATAGTGATAATACAGCTAAAAAGATTAATATTCCCAATGGTGTAAAATTGCGTGACTGTCGTGTTGTTATCCTGAGGACGATATGTGAACTATGCGGGAAGTATTTTAAGTGTGAAACCGACTTAAATATGCACATCACGATGAAACATCAGGCACATGGAAAAATTCCTATCACAACCGTGGAAGGAACATCGTGTGCAGAAGTCGAACTGTGGAACAAACCTACGGAGTGTCTAAATTACATCACCGATTCCCATGGAAATTTTGTAACGAAAGTACACAAGAAGATTAGTTTAATTTTAAAAATAGGGGAGGAAATTGTTAGTAAAATAGCGTTAAAACGAAAACATTTGAAGAAAAAGAGACTTGGTACGTGTATACAAAATAAACTACACCATGACACCAAATTAATCATAGACAACGATGTGTATGAAAATGTTTCTTGTATCGATCCTGCTGTGTTCGTTAATAGTCCTTACCAATGTCGCAACTCTGTGCACGCCTTACAGAGCCCCAATCGATATTTGGCTAGCAACATTGTAGCAGGTAAGCAGGCGATTCGTGGGAAAAGTATAACGCAGGGTGAAAATTACGTTTCCAACGAATTAAAGAAATCGTGCGCGCTATCCACGAGCGTAGAGTGTGATATTCACAATGTACAATGTAAGGAAGTTCCTTTCAAAACAAATTTAACGTTCGTGAATGAAGAGATTAATTTACATGAGCAGAATATAACCAAAAATAGTAATTCAACCGAACTTTCTTCGATACATTCGAATAACGTTTCAGTGCTTAACGAAACGTGTCATAAGTTACAGCTCACTGGAACGTCGAATCCAATTTTGGACTGTGATAAGAGAAGTGATAGTATTAAATCCTTACCAAAGAGTACAGATACTTCGTCGAAACCTATCGTGCAAACGTACCTACAAAACAGTGAAACTAAGAATAACAAAGAGGAAAGAGACATGAACGCAAATCAGGTACATAAAGTTTTTACTATTGATAGAAAAGAGCAATCCGCTTCGGAAAAGTTACAAAATGTCTCTAATATGGTACAAGTAATAGTTTTGCCAATAATCGTGCCAAATAATAATGCTCCTAGTTCACCTTTTAAATTAACTATACAATCATCATCGATGCAACAGAAGGAGCAACAACAAGAAAAACAAGGACAGCAACAAGAAGTTCAACCACCTCAAGAAAGCCAACCACAACAACAGACTCAAAACAGCGAACTGCGGCAAGAACTTATTCAAAATTGTATATACGATATCGAAGATAATTCCGACGATGAAGTGCAAGAAGTATTACGAATCGTTAGAAGGTGTAGCACTAACTCGGAGGTCAATCACGAATCGCCAACCCGCTTCGAGCAAGAAATGTTAGTACAAGACGCTATTAAAGATATGAAGAAAATGGAAGAGGGGGGGTGGCATTTGCTAGATAAGAAGATCTCTGAAGCTACGAAAAAACGGAAACGGAATACAAAAACTAATAGTAAAGGTAGCGACGTAAATGACGAGTCTGCCAAAAAGAAAAAAAAAACCATAAGTGAACCTAATTCCGATTCTAACTTAAAAAATCTAACTGGAGAAAAATACATATCGAATGCTAAAGAGCATGCTGCAAAAGTACAAAGTTATAATAGCATAGTGACAATGTGGGCATCTGATAATGTGAAAGAAAACTTGACGTGTAATAAAAATGTTGATGTATCATCGGAAATGCTACGACGATACGGTATTAATTATTACAATGAGGTATTCGAGATAAATAATAATACAGAGAATATTCAGGAACCTGTTAGCCGCTTTCTTGTCCCCTGTTCCGGCGGAATAGAAAATAGGAGTAATGGACCAGCCGTAATAGATCTAGTCTACGGCACCGATGAATAGCAATGGAAATAATGCACGCGATGAACGATGAACATAGTTTTATAAGACTGATGTCGAATTACATGGAGCGATGTCAATGATGGATACGTTCTTGCAATAATATGGGATTAAAGCGTAATAAGATATTTAGCATAGACAACTTTCTAATTTCTAATATTAATTTTGAAAATAAGTTTATCCTATATTTTTTTTGTATTGATGTGTACATATATCTATTGCTATATGTACTGAGTAAGCTAATGTGTTAGTTAAGTAAAGCTGTTATGTTGTGATTAAATGTTTTGAATATAATTCAAGTTAGATTCTACTTAATTCTTTTGTTAGATTGCACATCAATACTACATAGTATTATCGCTGCCAAAATGTTAAAATATTGCAAAAGATGTTTATATTGTGAGTGTATTGGATACATAGTATTTGTTTTATTTTCAATTTAAAATTTTGTTTATAAAGTAAACAAAGATCACCTTTTTTACACGATTAGTACTGTGATGTAACGGTGAAATTAATTTCTTTGTATTTTTTTTTTAAATATTTGTTTAAAAGGATAAATCATATGTTTTGTACAAGTATTATTACTTAGTGCAAATAAGTAATGTTCGTCCAATTATAACATTACCTTATTTAATTTACATTGAACATAGCAATAATATATGACATAGGACGTAAAATATTTTCATATATTCGTCCTTCGATGTAAATATTTATGTAGATAAATATCACTCGAAGTACATGGTTCTAAAGCAAGCGGTTTTTCTGTTTTTAGAATTGGACGTCACTATGTATTTCTATTTATTTTCATTTAACACAAATCACTTGTAACTTAGTGAATAAGCCTTGCTCAACATTTTTATATTTAGTTTGACTTGTAGAATTAGTCCTTTAAAACTATTTCATGAATGTGTAGCTGTATATTTCCTGTATATTTTGTGCCTTATTGCTGTTATCGACACGATCTGTATCGATAAATCCGCAAATTTGAAGAAACAGTTTTACTTGAAAAATCTCCAAGCGAAATCTTGTTTATCTATGGACCAAGACATTATCGTGTATAATAAAAGAAAAAAAAAAAAAAATAGTACCACATGCTTACAGTACAATGGAAATAGTGATCTAAGATTTAGAAGTTAGAAATACTCCATCTATCATCGTGACACTGTAGAGGAGGAATGTAAATCAAATACTGGCACAACAACCGAACACTGGCAAGAACATTCGATTACGATTGTTGAGGAATTCAGATCTATTACAGAACTATTGAACCTCTCTGTAAATAGCAACATTCTTAGAATTACAATAAACTTCTAATAAAGTCATACCACAGAGTTCAAAGTGGAAAGATTATACTCCAAATTTTAAACCTGAAATCCAACCTCTCTCTACATATATTTAACAAATTTTTGAAATGCGAGTACACTCAGATGCTCAGAAAAGGATTAAGAAAATTCAAAACAAAAAAAGCAGATCATTCAAACTCATTGCAAAACTCATCAATTAAATTTTATATGAAAATATTATGTATACCCAAAACTATGATACAACCAATTGAAAGGAAAAAAATAAAGCCCAGAAATCTGTAGAAGAAATAGATTCAAGAAAGCATTCTAGAACAGAGGATAGATTCTAATACTGTCAGCAGGTTGTTCGAGTTCTACGCGATCGTTCAACCTCTCGGTACAAGTGGTGCGCTAAAGTTTTGGCATGTGCGAGAGTCCACGTGTTACCGGCTTGTTCTGAAGAAGCTTCTTCCGGTCGCGTTGAAGCGCGACGTACCCGAAGTCTTCGGCTGGATGCAAGAGCGTGTCGCTTCCGATAGTTACTGCTTGATCAGCGGAAGTCAATGGGTCGGCACATATATTCCGTGAAGGGTTCAATGTATGTCACGCGTAATATCGAAGGCACAATTAAACTGCAAGACGAGACAACGCATTGCACGGCTGCCCGACACGAACTGATAAGCCCTGGAGAACCGCATGGCCTACCACTCTCCACCTCCCTTCAAGGAGATTCGATCTTGCTTTCCATCTTCCGTCATCGAGGAGAAGAGACAATTACGGTTGATCGTGAATTAGCATGTCGTGTATGCAGAAAAAGGAGCTTGTGTGCTTTAACGTCGGGTGGAACCATTTTATTTCGATGATTCCTAACGATCTGCTACATGCAGATTTTCACAAGCTAAAAATAAACATAGGATTTATAACTGGAAATTAGTAAAGCTTAATTTGGTGCATGAGACATTAAGAAAATGAAAGAAGAAGATTTAGCAAAGGTGGAAGGTGATGTAATTCAGGAGCTTTGGTCCAGAAGACTTTTACTTACGGTCTTTTATAAATTTTTGTTACCAGGGTAAGTTAGTGATATCATTAGATATTTATATCAAATATAATGGTTTAAAAACTCCTGTTTACATTTTCATTGAATATTTAAGCAAGTGAATTCAAAGGTGGTTTCGATTTCAAGGGGAAAGTTAATGACTATAATCCATAAATCGTTCATAGCAGCAGGTCTTTCATATACGTGTAATCAATTTTTTATGGCATTCCCTCCAGCTGGAAAAGAACGATAGGCTGTTAAAGGCATAACATTGTTTCTCAAGTGTTGCAACATTCATTCTGCACTAGAGTGCCTTTAATCATGCCTTTGCTAAACTATCGTAAAGAATCAGCAGATATAGTGAAATAGTAATTGTCAAACAATTTTATAGTACACGTAGTAATATTTATTACTACTCACTTGAATTTTATACAACAAGTGACGATATTTATCCCCGATATTATTATTTCGATGCTTGTTTTTATTGTTACATTCTCCTTTGTACGCAACATTATCACAGTGGAGAAAGTAATTCTGCGCCAAACCGCACAAACTTGAACACTTTCTTTGTTGTGCAACAGGACCGTTGTAATAGGTTTAAACGATCTTGTCAACGTTCTTCTATTGCCGTTGTGAGAAGCCGAATAATGAATCTAGCCTAGCTTGTAATCAGGAAGTTTCGATATCCAGGGATAGTATCGAGTTACAACCCCATGCGTAATCTGCCGACAAAGTTACGTTTGCAAATATCAGAATCCTTTGTAAACCACTTTTCGATTATCCATTTTGATTTCATTTGTCCACCGTTTAGTCTGTTCACGCGGAAAAATCTATAAAAGAAATTTACTTCATTAAAGGCTGATATACCTAGATTGTTTGTAAGAAAGTAGATAACAGAAGATTATTTTTTGAAGATGTACTTCTAACTTTTACCAAGTTCAAGAATTTTCAAAATTTGAGAAAAATTCTTATTTCCTATCTCAAGCATATAGCAATGAAACCTTCACCATTTCTTATGGCGAATCCAAGAAGACCCCTGCTGTATGCTATATTCAGTACCACTATAGGATGCACATACCTTGATATGTCAACTTAAACGTTAACCTTGCAACAGATATTTCTTACAGTGCAGACAATTTTTCTGTTTGTTTCTTAATATAACTTTGCATATAACACAATGTTACATCACAAAGCATTTAAGCAAAAGGACAATAATACGTATAGATACACAAAATGCATTATGTAATACGTACACATATGACCACGGCCTATTGTAATTACTAACTAAAACGTAGCGTAGATTATTAACAAAACACACAACAGACCCTCTACAGCACGTGTCTGTCAATTTTGTTTGATGAAATATGTCTAGATTTTAACAGGTGGTTGTTAGGGGGATAGTTTGCAATGGTGTATGATAGAAAATTACAGATCGGGCAGTGAAAGGATACATTGTCGTAGCGATTATATTATATGCTTCATAGCGTAGCTCAATTAAGTTCAAAACAAAAATTTAATTTTCTTCTTCCTTTTTCACGTGTACTTTTATCCTCCTTAATTGTTTAAATTGTTTGATACAATCTTCCACTGCAGAACACAAATCTTCCTCGTTCCTCTCCAGAGTCATCTCCAGAGAGTAGAACAGACTTTCCAAATCGTAGCACAGCCACGATTCTGTCATCTTGACAATTTTTTGAAGTAACTCTTCTGTTTGAAAATCAGTCAATTTCTCACTGCTTGAGGTGGATAAATTGAGTGGAGAATTCCTTGTACGTTTCGATGGCGGGCCTTCTCCTGACGCACTGTTTTTTCTCTTAACGTTGATTTCTGAATAAAAAATCCGATTTTTGTTTTCTTCGTTAAAAATAATAGAAGGTGAGTAATAAGTTTAATAACAAGTTTTGTTACTTGACTTGGAATTGCTCATCACGTGGGCTGATCGTGCGGTGCAAACTCTGTTACGTGTCCTGAGTTTACTCTTTCGAGTTGGTGGCACCTCTTCTGTCGTTATGTTAATATTATTAATGTTACAAAAAGTACCTTTTTTAACTGAAAAAATTGAAAGGACAGTCACTCACGCGTTGGAGAATTTTCTGTGAAATCAATTCTACCCGCCACTTTTCGCTTTCTTCCTACATCCTTTATCTGTTTTGACATCGGAAGTTGATCGAGATCCGCTGGTTAGAAAACAAATTATTAGTTCAGTAATTAAGTTTTTAAAACAGTAACTGAAAATATAAAGAAATCTTTTTAGTACAGTGTTTTCATATAACGAAGCTGGGATAATAGAATGTTTTTAAATATTGATATTAGTAATATTAGGATAGCCTTTTAAAGGGAAATAGTATACCTTGTGAAGAGCGATTAGATTCGAGATCACACGCAGAGTGAACGAATAATTGTTTGAAAAATAATTCACGCTGTTTCTCACTGATGGGCATCACTTGAAACATTTCTCCTTGATATTCGTCGAACAAAGATGAAATCTAATAATTGAATAAAATTAAAACGAAATTAGAAACGTTATCTTCCATTGTTCATTTCTTATAATTTTCATTGATACGTGTAATTTAAATATGTTTAATAATTGGAATTTAGAAATAATACTTCTTAAAATATTGCTTTTCGTGACGCTGTAATTGAATTAAATTTTTTATTAATAATTATTCTGAAATTAATATTGTGTAGTTTGAAAAAATAAGTAACTTTATCAACAATTTCCCTTACATCTGTCGGTAAATCTTCTTGTGAGCAATTAGCCGTAGTCAAGATTAACATATGCACCGATCGATCTAAGCCTTGCATTAAAGATGTAAAAACGACACGAGCTGCTTCGTCTACTAAATCCCACCAGACTAATATGTCAGGAATGTAGAGCAATGATGGTAAACTCCGCCGAGCCATTTTCATTTTCTGTTATTTAATTAATTAAAATATTTACATATCTTAAATAGAAATATTAATATCACAAAGAAAATAATAATCACGTAAAATATAGGAATAGAATCTACAAGAACTTTGTAGAATTTTTTCTCAATTTTTTCTTATTTTCTATTACTTTTATTACTATACGTATTTTTTAAACATTTATTATTTTTTATAGTCATTTTTATAAGTATTTATTATTTTCATTATAATCAATTATTATTTTCTTATGAATTATCTATTTAATTAATATTGCACTTGGGCATTAATCATTGTTTCGTTTTAATAGTTACTTGAATAAGTGCTTCTTCTGCAGCCCTCCCTGTTTCTTCGAACAAAGTTGTAACATCCAACACATGACATGGTAAGTGTTCCAAGGTGTGAAGCAATGCTGGTCCCAAATGACGAGTGTGGGAGTCGTCGTCACCACACAGTAAAATCCTAGGACAGTTGTTTGACCTGGATGCGGCTCTACCAGAGCTGTAAGAAAGACCTTTTAAAGTTTTTTATACTACAAATGCCATTGTGACCTATCATTAACCCTACTTTTGTACTGGTCAAGAATTTAAAGTTCTATGGTAAGATTGATTTACTTTGATACAATTAGAAAAATGGTAATCAAACTGTAACAAAATTTGTATAACTCACAACAGTGAATTATAACAATATGCAATATGCGTAATAACAATATTCATGGTACAATGTAATAATATATCATTGAAATATGTTTCTTCAAGAATTTGTTAACCTTTAATGACCGAATTCTTATTTTCTCATGAAAATGAAATTGCAGTTAATATATAATTATAATTAACTGTATTCATACGATTCCTTCTTTTCGATGTTCGTATAATAAATATTTGACAACGAAAAATGTATAGAATTTATAACTGTTGCGAGGCTACTACTACTTAAATCAAGCGGTAATTTGATGCTCACATGACGTCACAAATCAACATTCCCGCCGGACAAAGAATCTCGAGCTGTGACAGAATGCGTGACAAATTGTCTTGAAGTAATGGCTGAATTTTAAACGACAAAGACTTCACTGGTGCGACTGAAACACGATGGGATGCTGGTAGGATGTTCTGTTGTGCCCTCAGAAAATCTTGTTTCTCGACCTATCACATTAACAATTGCAACAAATATTTCGTAAATGCTATTTCAAGATAATAACCTATATCAAGATAATTTAAAACGCGAAGGATCATAACCTATGCTAATTATTTACATCGTGGAGGAAATAATCCTACGAGATTGCAATTGCTTGGAAGCAATAAATTATATCAGGTAGAAATATTTCAAATGTTATTAAGGTTACACGATATTTCATTAAGTATATATTCAACGATAACATTCTCTATTTTATTATTCGATTAAGTGTCACAGCTTCTAAACAGCAACCACTTCTATCACTGGATTAAATATGTTGCCGCTGGCAAATAAACCAGCTGTTTCGTGGTACACGTAGCATAGTAATCGTATGCTAATTGAGTGTCCTGATTTACGTTTCTGAAAGGACTGACCCAACCTTTCTTAAACTTTCTTTCCTTGAAGTACCTTTTGCAAGAACAAGAACAGTTTTTCGTGTAAGATATTTTCATGAAACTGCAAATAAGCGTCAAATCTTACTTTCTAAACATATTAAACAATCAACTAGTGAATCGATAATGTCGCAAAAATTAAACAAACTTTTTATCGATAGTTTTGTTAAATTTTTTTTAAATTTAATTTTCTTTCTTATCCTAAATCTTTAATGAAAATTTGTTCTTATTACTTTAAGATGCCGCTCGTTAATCGTATATTTCGTTTTAGACGTATATATTTCTGGATAATTTCTTCTAACGCAGCACATCACCGCCTCGGCGCAAAGGGCTTGTAAATCGCTCCCGCAAAATCCGACTGTCTTCGACGCAAGGTATGCCAAAAATTTCTGTGGCGGTTTTTGCTTCCAACTTTTTATATGGACCTGTTATATAAATAACATTTTTATTTCAATATAATTTCCTCGAATATAAGAGGGATGAAAAAGCTTCATCTGAATAAAGAGTACCGAGAGTATTTCTTTTCTCGCGGAATAGCATGGCAATGGAAAGTATAATTCTCTGTCGAATCGGCCAGGTCTTCTTAAAGCTGGATCTATAGCATCGATTCTATTCGTTGCTCCAATTACTATGATCTCTGAATTGTTCTCTAAGCCGTCCATCAAGGCCAAGAGAGTGGAGACAATACTAGCGTGCACAAAGTCTTGGCGACTAGATCTCACTGGAGCCAGACCATCAACTTCGTCAAAAAAGATTATGCAAGGCTTCGATTGTTGAGCCTGAACGTGGTTACAAATCGAATTATTGAAATAAGAATTTTGAAAATATGTTTTTTAAAACGTGAATAATGGTTAAAATATAATTAGAAAGTCACGTGTTAATTAAGTAAAACATATCTTTACCATTTTCTGTTATCATCTCGTACATTTTTGGCATAAATGACGAAAGTACATTATACATATTCGTATAATTCTTATAGTATAAAGAATCGTAAGGGAATCACGAGACAATTAATTCGTTTTAATAGTTTCTATCTTAATACCGTAAAAAAAGGAATGAGGTATATTAACCAATGAAAAAATCTTTTGAAGCTTCTTCTCGCTTTCACCGACCCATTTGCTTAGACAGTCAGAACCCTTACGAGATATGAAGGTAACCTTCCGTTCGGTATTACTGCATTCTGCGGCTAAAGCGCTGGCTACCAGAGTTTTTCCTGTGCCTGCGAAACAGAAAATGTCAATCGGGATTCTCGTTTCCAACAAGGTCCCGTGTCATTACGAACCGTAGAAAGTTTTATTTTACCAGGAGGCCCGTAAAAGAGCAAACCCCTCGGTGGTTTTAGATTGAACTTGGCGTAAATGTCACCGTACATGAGCGGAAACAGAACAGTTTCCTTTACCACTCGGATGTGCTTCTCCAGTCCTCCGATGCAAGAGAAATCCTTCGCGCCGGACATCTTTCCCGATGAAACTGACGCCCAAGCTTTTATTTCGCATACCCGTCGAACGTATTCTCATTTAGCTACCACAATTTTGTATAATTGCTCCTTGAATTTTTTTGGTCGGCGAAACCCGCTTCGGCTACTCGCATCGTTGATCGTACACATGCATCATGTGTTTCTGGCAATTTTACTGGAATTTTTATGGTGTCTGATAATTGATTCAAGTCGATTCACGATGTAATTTCATTATTTTAGACGTTTCATCGATACAATTCTTAGCGAAACATGCGAATCATGTTCTCGTTTGAAGCAATGTTCGTGTAGTTTGAAATAATGTATAATGAATAATTATCAAGGGTTTCTTGGATAGGATATAAATACTTTATTTTATACGAAGTCGAAGGTGGTAGGTTTTAAAGAGTATAGTTTTAATGCCATAAATTTTCGAATTTATACAATATAATATCTTATAATATACAACTTTCTTTTTTATTATTTTATATTTTCGTCAGTGTGAAGACATATATTAAACACTAAGTATTCAATCAAATTTTTGTCGAGTGTTACGTAAAGGAATATTATTATACGATATTATCTATTTTTTCAATATATGAAAATAATATAAATAATCGAAACACGTGAAAAAATATTTATTTCATATTTAATATTTCACAAAATAGATTTAGATTTTTAATACGTGTAAAGCCGAATTAAATTTATCGATGAACTTTATGGGAAGTGATTTTAGTAGAATTATATGACGAATTTTAATAGATGAATTTTAATAGTACGAATTTTGTAAGGAGTAATAAATCAAGACGAGTCGTTACATTACGAAACTTCAATTTATTATGCTACAATGAATGACAATAAAACGTATTACCTGTATGGTAAAATAAATAAGGCAGTGTATGCTCTTTTGCTTTGTTTCCTATATCTTCTACACATTTGCTTCATATGTTTGAAACTACTGTCTGACAAAGATCATATCCATGTCCAACAACAAGGAATTTATTGAATTCGTAGATCAATATGATCTTCGCAAATAGCAGCATTACAATCTTTATTATCTGAATACTTTAGCAAAGTAATTATAGTAGTTAGTTCAAACGGCAGTGGTTACGAGAACCTCTCGATTAATACAATGTACATATAATTTACACGATTTTTTCTTTTGCAATATTCTTGGTAATACAGAGATGACAGCACATCAAAAAATAGCACCAGAAATTATTCTTGGAATAATTACACGTTTCGGATATTTTTTTTATCATAAAGTGGAATGTAAAATATATCAGTGGAAACAGAAAAATCACAACGATACAATTAACATTAATTTTTTTTTCTCTTCGATTTATATTAACTGTATATGTGATTTTTCTGTATCATTTACTATTTATTCAGGTTTACATTTGAATCTTTTATTATTGAAATATTATACAAGTTCTTTGGCAAATATTAACGATATCTATTTGTATTGGGTATGCTTGAGTTAAGCAAAAATTTATTTCCTGGGTGCTATATTATTAAACTTAATGAAATTGTTATCAAAACAAACGCTGAAATTTTTGTTAAAAAATTCTTTAGACATTAATAGCAATATTACAGCTTGCTTTTAATATTTTAAATTCCTTGCATTTTAAACGTCGTGAGTGTTATAAATGATATTATATAGTGGTAACGATATTTCTGTTAACTTAATTTTTTTATCTACCATGCATATGAATACTTATTTAATTTTCATAATGTGGCACTAATTTGCACAATAATTGTTCTTATCATAAAGGGACAAGTACCTGAGTAAGAGAAAGTACAATATTTAAATTACCAATATCACAAAATTTTGCGTGAAATATTTTAATACAAAATTAAATCGTTAGAAGCATCAATTAAGTTTTAAATTGTGTAGAAACTTGAACTAAAATGTATTAATTTGCATCTTAATTCTTATAAAATCATTTTCATTTCATTTACTGTTATTAAAAAAAAGTTTACAAAGCTATCCACAAATACTTTTCAATTTTTCCATTTAAAACTTTTGTAAGTATTAATTACCTTACTATTAGTACACTTTAATTTTGTACAAAACGATATATGTGCATGGAACATTTTTGGTAATACTTAAAATTAAACATGGAAATAAATTTACATATAATATTAAATTAAATTTGATAAAATTATTCAAATTTGTTGAGAACGCTATAAGTAATTACCAATAGAAATAAAATGTATTTCCTTAGTGTGATATATTTTTATTATAAATTATTTTTACTGTAAATTAATAATTCTAATTCTAATGTCATTCTAAAACATCAAGCATATATCAAAACACTAAACATATAGATAATTATGTTCATAAAATTACATATATAAAATTATTTTATCTAAAAATTTGGTATTTACATTATACAAGATCATCTAATAGAATACCGAAAATTATTTTGCTAATTCAATTTAAATAAAAAGAATAACAGACGAAAGGAATAAATACTATGTAGTGAGCATTTCTAAAGTTCAGTCTTTTCATTCCTATATTCTAACAAATTTTAAGTAATTCACTTATAATTTCGTAAAATTTAATTACAATTTTCACTACAAATCAAGGATGAATTTACAATAATGTTTAATCTAGTTTCCATATTCGGAAATTTTGACTAATATGAAATAACAAATTGTAATGTTAACCACCAATTAATTAATAACATATCATATTTTTTAAACTGGTATTACTTCTTAATTACATAGCATTTTTTAAAGAATTTTGTGTTATTTACTACATGCTTGATTGTAAGAATTATTATTAAATCCTTACTATCTATTTTAAACTTAATATGTATCTTATTTATATATTTATCTAAATAATCGAAACTAAATAAAGAAATTCATTTGTTAACACATCGTTTTTTTTTATAAATGAATACTACTTATATGATCAATGTCAATAGGAAGAATATTATTACTTGCACTTCAGAAAGCATCAAAATCTTTTTTTTCATTTATAGTGTTTGGTAACTATCTTTTCACAGTTACAGTATAAATCACAACCAGTATATGAATCTAGAATGTAAGTTTTACATTAAATATTTTCTAATATTTATACAGATACAGTTTCCTTTGCATATGTTACGATTTTTACCGAGGTATTTCACATTTATAGTAATTTTCAATTATATTCCCTTTTATATCCACAATAGAATCAAAACCTATTTTTTAATTACTTTGCTTATGGCTTATAGCTTTGGTCAAAATGAACTGCCGAGCATGTACTATATTTCAATTATACATTATTCATCATACATAAAACTAATTTATCTAAATATAATATAGTTGTAATTGTATTAAATTAAATCATAATAATTAAAGCAACAGATTCCAATCTTGAATAATGCTATGACAACATCAATGACTTATAAATTTTATTAATGTATATAAATAGTTATACTGGACACGTGTAATCTTTATATACATTGATAAAAGATCATTATATCAAATATTATCTTAAATAATATACAAACTATATAATTTTAGTTTACTAAATTATTCATTATTTTTAATTATGTATACTTTTACTTCAAGTAAAAATGATAAATTGAAAGAAGGAAGCATAACAAATTTAATATCGAAACCTAGTAACCTTCTACAAATTATTCCTAAAATTAAATTATGTACATTGCCAAAAATATTTAATTATGCAACATATAACATTGCTCATAAAATTTGGAATGTATTTACATATTTTTCAGTTTATGAAATCTTTTTTTAAGTTTTCATCACTTGAATGATTAATTAGAACTAATACACAATGTTATTATCGACACTGATTAACAGAATTGTAACTTTTCATTAAATAGTAAAAAAAATTATATAAAATTACTTTATCAAATTTAAAAACTTAGATACTTTTATATTGAGTATTACTTTACTAAATGATCTTCCTTTAAAAATAGGGCACATGTGAGTTTATAGCTGCATGTTGGAACCTATATGTCAAGATATGTCTATGTTCAAAGTACTTTTATAAAAATTACCTAAAGAATTGTAAAAATCCAAAGTAATAACTGGCGCATATAATGAATCTATAATATATTTCATCAAGGTTTATTAGGATCCTACTATATGCATATAGAATAAAATAATTTGATTTAATATACTGCCAAGTACCAGATGTAAAAAACTATAGTTAAGTACATACTGTATTAAATTACCATCATCTTTGTATAACCAGTATTTGCAAATTTTTGTTATTATAAAGAAGTATACCTCTTTCAGGTATAAAGTACTATACATTAACACAAAAAATATTTCACAAGTACCCCATTAATATTTACTTGTACAAAAAACAGATTGTTCGTAATTTTCTAACTAATTTCTTGTATGTGACCTTTTTATGTCAATTTTTATACAAATATTGATAATTAACTGAAAATCATGCATGATTGTAGAAATATTTCAATTTGATATCAAAATTTGTTACTAAGGGATAAGCCACTAATAATTATAGTTAATGAAAGCCAATATGATTATAATAATTTATCATTTCATATTTAGATACTGAGATAAATAGTTAAAATTGTCTTCTCTCAGTTTCCAATATAACATTCACTTTTTTCTTGTAAGATTAGCACACAATTATGCTTCACCAAACCTTTGAAAATCTTTAAAAATGAATTTACCTTTCTTTTTTTTTATTAATCATCAGTAGTTCTAAGAATTGAAATGAAAAAAATATACTATTTTAAATTATTATGTGATTTAACACTAATTGATAATCTTTGTTTAGTGTAAATGTACAAAAATTTTGTTGTAATGATACTAAAGGTAGCATGTGACTTATAACATGTCGGTTTGATTTGCGACATGATGAACTTTCTCGTACGTTGTCTTGAACTCTTCAAATCTTTTCACTTCCTTGAGCAAGTCCTACACACATCATAAATTATAAGATACTTTATACTACATAAAAAGAAATTATACTCTCTACACCATATAGCTCAATTAACAAGTCATAAATGACAATAAGAACCAGTAAAAAGCAAAAAGCATAAAAAAATAATGTAAATAATGAAGTGATAATCCATGCACATTGAAAAATAAATTAGTAAATTTAACGGTATTTACCTTTGGCAGTGATTTTCTATCATAATTCTGAGCATATTTTCCTACACATCGACTGAGTTGCACGTAAATATCGCATAGTACTTCAACAGGAAAATCTTTCGTAATTTCAACGGTAGTTTGCCATGCACTTTCTAATTCATTTTTATCTACTACAAGTTTTTCATTTTCTTCAAATCTGGTTGGACTAGAATCACTCTCGATAGCAAACGATAATTCATCTATACTTTCTCGCCTAGACGATGAATTAGACACACTATTTTCCGCGTTTTTTTCTTCTTCTGTAAAACATATTTCCATACTCTCAATTTCATCAATCCGTTGCTCACTGACACTATTGCTTTGAAGTCCTTGTATATCTTTTGAACATTCATTTTGCGAATCATTCTCAGAATCAGAATTATCGAATAAAGGTACATGACCATTTAAAACACTGTTTGCCTCGGTCTCAAATTCTTGGAATTTTTCTAAATCTATACTTGTTGTTTCATTACTTAAACAAATTTTGTTTTCAGATACAGTTACATTTTCATCAAACGCGATTTTCTTTTTTTTGTGAACTTTCTTTACATAGCCCCTTGCCCACGCCGGTATTCTACGTTTTCTAGAATTATTATATCTTCTTCCATTTACGATCAGGGTGTGACTAGGACTCGCAGAGTCTTTTTTGTCTGTTCGTTCGGTTACGAACGTAGATTGTTCTGTTTTTGACTGATTTTTATTATCCACTTCGTTACTTACTGTACTTTTAATAATTCTACGATTTTTTGAAATCTCACGACATTTATCCTCAAAATCGGAATCCAATTCTGCTTTTATTAACGCATACGCATTATCACGAAGAGAGCACGCACGATGTCTTATTAATTTGTCAGCCGGATCTCTGAAAGAATGCAATACAATATACATACAATATGTATTAAGGTTTTAGAAATATATATCACTATCAAGAAGCGACATGAACTAATATGAGTGGCTTTCAATAATATAATTTTCTAAATATACATATTTACATATATATAATATATAATATATTATTATAGTATACATATAAGTAATAAAATATATATCAACAATTGAAAGCCACTTTAACTACGGAGCGGCAACAGCAACGGATAAACAGGAATATCTGAACTACCTCTTTAATATTCCAAGGGAAGGCCTATCACGTAAGCTGACATGAAAACACACAACATGAATGTCAGTATGAACTTCAGCTCCATTATTTATATTTATAGTTGTATGTACAATAATAACAGAAAAATATGTAGATAAGAAGTATAAATAATAGTATGTAAAATACGCGACTATTATTAAGTACCTTCGTTAAAGAATTCATGAAGAAAAAAGAATAATAAAAATTCAGTAAATGTTCGTGTTTATATTATCGTAATATTTAAATATCATAATGTTTACAATATAACATTTTATAAGGGATTTAATAAAACAATTGCTGTATATTGTACTCACTGACCTATCAGGATTATATTCCAAAGCATTTTTACAAATGAGATCGATATCATCTAGAAAATCTCGAGCACAAAGATAACAATGCATATCTATTTTTGTCATCATAGTTTCTAAATCCATTGGTTGTTTTATTATCATGTTATAATCCGGTACTTCTTCTGTGTCTACTGGTTTTGTAAACATGAAAAATCTGTAATGTAGATATTTGATATCAATTACTACTCTACAAACAAAAGTATCGTAATAAGGAAATATTTACTGCCTATTTCTCGCAAGTTTTGCACAAATTTCTCTTAAGAAAATTCTTAATTCTCTTAAAGAAACTTCTTCCTTCTCGAATATTACTTTCTTTTCTTCTTCCGTTAATTTCTTTGGTAAAGGATCTGGTGCTAAAGGAAGCTCTTCTAAAACTTCTACTTTATCATCTTTTATTTTTGGTGGTTTTAAACTTTGAACCATGAAAATAGGTCGGAAGAATTTCGATCTTTGTTCAGCTGTTGGTGTCTTCATAGAATAAACTTCGCTACGAAGTTCACTAAACAGACTTTGAAGTTGTACAGGAAGATCCTGATATGTTCTATCACTTGTGGCTAAAATCAAAATAGGCAATGAAGGATCCAGTGCTGCAATACGACATAAAAAAACCGCTTTTACGGTTTCAGGTACAAGTGGCCACCATTGATCAATCGACCGAATATAAATTATGGACGGTACGTTCCTGGCAGCTTCGTTAAATACCTACATTATTTAAAATCATATGAAATATTTTAAATTATTTAGTATGTGTTTCTTCTCTTTTATTTGCAACTAACCTGTACACAGGTTTCTTCCGGAGATCGTCCACTTTCTGCGAAAAGAGTACTAACATCTAATGTTTGAACTGGTAGATGTTCCATATGATACAATAGCGCTTGTGCTAAATGTGGCCCTTGACCTTCAGATAGATTTCCACCAGAAATTAATAGCCTTGGTCGATGTATCCCTTTGGCAATTTTCACTCTAAGATATTTAATAGTAATGTATTAAGTAAAAAAGTAAATATGTATTAAAATAAATATAGTTACAAAACTATTATTTAATTTTATTACTTTGCCATAGCAGGATTAACTCCTTGAGGAAATATTCCCTTTATTGAATTAAATAACTCTTCCAGTAGAGGTCCTAATAAAGGTTCCATAAAAGGTTGTAATTTTCTTCGAGCACAAGGTGATACTCTTTGTGATGATGGTACAAGAATAGAACTAGCTTGCAAAAAATCTCGTTTTTTTACCTATAAAAATATACATAATCTTATATTATATTTATTTGATACTTATGTATTCGCTAAATAATGATAACATACTTCAACTCGTTCAGGATCTAATAGTAATCTATTATTAGTCATATATATTTGAGGATAAGTTCTTCGTAATCCTTGTAAAACTGCTTCAGTACACAAAGCTCTCAAATCTGAACCACAATAACCCGTCGCTTTTTCAGCTAATACTTCTAACAATTGATCAGATGGACAATTTTTCCATTTACTAACGTGGATTTTTAATATTTCTAGTCTTTCTTTCATAGCAGGCAAGGGGAAAAATAATTCCCGATCAAAACGACCTGGTCTACGTAATGCTGGATCAATAGCATCTATCCTATTTGTTGCTCCAATAATTATTACCTATTATTAAATAAATGGACGAGAATCAATCATTAAGCATTTGAGAGTTTATGTAATTAAAAATTTTTGTAAAGATTTAAAAAATAAAGTATTTAACCTCTCCCCTATCACTGAGGCCATCCATAAGCGCCAAAAGGGTAGATACAATACTAGCATGAATTTGATCCTGTTTCGTACTTCGAACAGGTGCAAGGCCATCTATTTCATCAAAAAATATTATGGACGGTTTCATTTGTTGAGCCTGCTCAAACAACAATCGCAACTGACGCTCAGATTCTCCAACCCATTTAGATAGACAATCTGCTCCCTTTCTCATAAAGAACGACATTTTTCTACTGCCTTGACTACATTCATTTGCCAATGCTCTAGCTATTAATGTTTTACCAGTTCCTAAATAAATAAATATATATCAGTAATAATTGTGTTTCAATTAAAATGTTTTAGTTTAAATTTAATCGATATAATTATATAAATATACACACTATACCTGGTGGACCATGAAATAATACTCCTTTTGGTGGGATAATATGAAAACGTTCAAAAACATCTGGATACATCATAGGAAAAACAACCATTTCTTTAAGGCAGTGAATATGTGATTCTAAGCCACCAACATCATTGAATCTAATGTTAGTATCTAAAGTAATTGGATTTATATCTGCTTTACGATCAGGTGGTCCACCTTGAGGTATTGCTGATTGCCTATAATAAAATAATCAATAACATATATAATTGTATTTCTTAAAATCTCTTTTTACCTTGCTTTTTTACTTTTTTTCTTATCATAACGCTGAGGTTCTGAATCACTCGAATCACTAGAGCTTGTACTTTTACTTCTATGTTTACGCCTTCTCATGGAATTACTAAGAACACTTCTAAGTGCTTTTATAGATCGTCGAACTGGTTCAACATTAGCTTGAAATCTATCTACAGCTGGTTTTTTCTGACGTAAACTATACTTTCTAGGACCAGGGGAATCAGAAGATTCACTTAAATCACTATCTACTACTGTAAAAATAGTAAATTATAAATAATATAGTAAAACATCCGATTGCATAAATTAATAGTACATATATTAAAAATAAACATCGAACCTGTGAGCTTCTTACCCCTTGGTAATTGCCGTTGCGCTGTTCTTCTAGTTCGTTTAATACGAGTATACATGTCTTCATAGCCCTGTTAGTAACACAAGTATTTGTTATTATAGTATTACCTTTGAGTTACTTACACATTTTAACATTTTGTAAGTACACTAATTAAATTATACAAAAGTCTTTCTATCTTGTTTCTTTATACTTAAATATGAAGAAACTATATGAAAAATTAAAATATAACTGATCATATTGAAAAAAATTATTTACATCTTCATTTTCAGAGTTATCATTATTTTCTGCCTTTTCACTTTCTTGTGAGCTATCTTCATCAGCTTCTACTTTAGATTTCACATCTTTTTCACCTATACTTCCACCAAGTCTTGTAGCAGGTCCTTCCTTTAATCTACTTGGGCTATCAGACTTTCTTGTTCTGCGGACAAATTTTTAAATAACAAATTAATTACACTTTAACTTTATAAATTTTATAACAAGGATTTATTATAAGAATTAATTAATATTAACCTTCCATCCTTTTCTTCATTAGATTTACTCCTAGTTTCTACCTTATCTTTATGTTCCCTTTCTTGTCTATCTTTAAGGTCTCTAATATCTTTCTCCTGCTCTGCTTTTTCTCTAAGATCACGATCACCCCTTCCTCTAAGTTCTCTACTATTTTGTCTATCATGTTCTGTCCTTTCTCTAATATGTCTAGATGAATTTTTATTTGGAGGGTGATTTTCACGTGATCTAAGAGGCATACGCTCTCTGACATCACGTTTTCTTTCAGGAACTTCATCCACCATTTCTTTATCAGATGAAGAACCATGTTGTTGAAACATGGGGTATCCTTTCAATGTTTGTGTACCTAAAAAATATTATAAACACTCAAAACATTTTCTTATAGTAAACTTTTACTTAGTAACTATTGTAATATTATTTCAAATAAAAATATAACTAACATAAGTTAAATATAAGTTAAAATATAATTTTAAGATATGCATCACCTAAAATCCAACTAGTATTAAGATTATCATATGTTTGCATTCTATGACGTGTGCTACGACGCACACTTAAATTGTTCATAGATATATGAGAAGTAGAGTTTGAATGTGATCGTAAAGTACGCAAACTTTTAACCCTTCTGGCATTAGAGCCAAGGCTACGATTTCTAGGAGAAAAAATATCTTCTTCTGTATCCATTGAGTCCAATGCAGCATCATCATCTGACATTATCTATATTGTATTAATTATAAATATTTTATTTTTAACTTTCAAATTTCAATCATATTGTATAAAAAATTTTTACATAATATATAGTACAATATGAAACTCTTAAAAAAGAAAAGAAACATACATAACATTCACTTGCATATACATATATATTAAAGTTATATCTAAATTTCAAACAATAATTTTGTAAAAATTACTAAAGTAAAAAATATAATTTAGTAAGTGGGATAAAAGTATCAGATTCTACGAATTAATATATATAATAAAAGAAAAGAAAAAATACATATTTAACTTTGATATGAAAAAAATTTATTGAAAATTATGGTATGTTTTGACAGTTAACACGTGCTTTTTCTTATTTTTTATTACTTTTTTTTACGAAATGGAACACCGCCCACTTAAATATTTTTTCAGAAACTTAAAATACAGAAATGAATATATAATGCTCTTTATAAAAAGTGGTAAGAAAATTAATAATTAATCATGCAGAATATAAGAAAAATCAAAATTAGAATATGTACTGTCTACAATAATAATAAACAAAGCACCATGGAAACAATTAGTATTATTCTGAAATACACGAAGTTTAACCTCTACAAGTATTTAGAACTTGAGATTATTGAAACGTAAAACATTTAGTATTTTATTAAACAGTTTACCTTCATCTGGCCAGTTCTTGCTGCCAATTTGTACTTAAATTAAAAAGAAAACTGCTAATGTCCGTCATATGCCTCAGGTAAAGTAACACCACTTTCTTGATCAAGTGCACGTAGCGCATGCACACTGAGCATTCACAAAGGTCGTTTTACGATCGACTATCACTTGAAAGTATGTTACATTAGAAATATAAAAAATATAGACACATTACTACCAACAAGTTTGTTGTAGTAAAATTTTTTTTATTGAATTGATGATTATAAAATTTGTATTGCAAACTATCATTACATATGTGAAGTCACTGAAATTAGCTGTAAATGTATCTGTAAATCTAACCTAACCCGTTTGCCAATTGTGATCACCTTTAAGTATATGATGCAAGAATACAATATTAGCGCGCTCCTTCATAAAATGATATAACTACAGATGGTAAATATACCGTCGGATATATGGTGTTCTTTTAAGCAATTCTTAAAATATTGTACTTAATACATATGTTTGTTTACTATATAATATTTTCGGAATGCATGTATTGATATTTTTATAATATAAAACACTTATTTTATAAATTATGCAATAAAATTATTACAAAAATTTGAATACCTCAACAAAGTTATTTTTGTTATTTAAATTTATTTAGTTTAATAAAATAGCTATCTAAAAATATTTTGATTTTATTCATATTACATGCATTTTCATATTAAACAATTTTGCATTGCCAATCTCATTATCATCTTATCAGTTTCAATATTAATAATTTGATTTAAAATTAGTTAATTTGATTTAAAAATCATTACATATAATTGCATATACTTACATAATAAAATAACATTGATGATATATAAGTATTTTATTAATATTTACATAATAATATTCATATTTATTTTCTAGAAAAAATCATCTTGTAACTACTCAATAGCTTTTGAAATATTTATAACTAAGTTTTTATACTTCTCCAATTCTAAATTTATTTCCAACAGCCTTTAGGTGGAATCGTAGTCCAAAGATGACATTCAAGAATTCATATGCTGGAGGTGCAGGATTCGATTCTCGTCCATAAATTGATAGTTTTTTCAATGTCTTTTTTATTTTGTATTCATTTTTCGCCTATGGAAATATTGTAAATAAACAACTGTAAATAAAATTTCTTAATAAAAAATTTATTTTTTACGCTTTCTTATACTAGTATATATTTATTACAATAAAATAATTTAAATAAAAAGATTTATTAAAATAATAAGAATATTATGCAAGAAAAACACTTTTCTATAGCAATCTTATCTACTACAGAAAGAAAACGAAAATATAAATAATCATTAGATACAGGAAATACAAAACCTATCGCTCATGTAAGTATTAATTATTAAATTAAACATTGTATAAGAATGTTACCTATAATTCCAACTTTGCTATGCAGCTATAAATGTTTATAAATTAATTACAAAAACTTGGAAATTTATTAATTTTCTACTGGCGAATTGATTTATAAGGTGTATTAAGAGTACATAACCAGCAAAGGTATTTAATTCGAATACAAATTTTACCGCCTACGATCAGCGCCATGTATGATTTTGGATCATATTGTCGGAAAAGTAATAGGAACATAGAATAGGCAAGGAAGTCGTCAAAGAGCTCGTCACGTGACAGACAAGGACAGCGATCGGGTAGAAAAGGATAGAAGGGCTCCGACAGTGAAAAATTAATAAATTACTCAATTTCTGTAATTAATTTATGAACTTTTATAATTTCATTATAAGGTTGGAATTTCACGCAACATTCCTATATAATTTTCGTAAAGAATTTAACTCTACATTATTGGTTATTAATTATTGTTTGATGACGTCCATGATTTCGTAACAACGACCATCACAATCTTCCGTGAAAATATATAATACTACAAGAAACTAGAAGCAAAATGTGATCAAAAGTTATATGAGAAGATTCGCAAGAACATTATCTTTCTAATGAGTGCATAAAGTTTCATAAATTAATTGCGGAGAGGGTAGTAATTAATGAAAAACCAATGGCGTCTTGGACAGCAATTCAAACACTGCGTAGAATGATCATTAATTATTAATTAATTAGGGACAAATTTATATCGAAAAGTATATTGGAAAGTTCTTGAAGGATCTGCCTTTACGACGCAAATATAAAAGTTCATAAATTAATAACAGATATTGAGTAATTAGTGAATTTTCCACTGTCGATTTGATTTATTAAAATATATTAGGACATAACCAGAGTTAGTAAATTGACATCAGAGCCATCTATGATTCTAGACTCGAAGCTCGAGTTCCGCAACGAGAACATAAATGGCTCTGATGTCAGTTTACTAACTTTGGTTATGTCCTCCTAATATATTTTAATATATCTTAATAAATCAAATCATGAAGTTTTCTACATTCTTTAATAAATTCAGCTCAAACAGTGGTTTTAATTAGATAATCAGCATTCATTTCTTTATCTGACAGACATCAATTATGCAAAGGTACGCTTTTACAACTTAATTATAAAATTTCATAAATTAATCGCAGAAATTGAGCGATTTGTTGATTTTTCTCCAAATGAACAGGAAAATGCATAGGAAATGAGAAAAAATTGCAAACAAACGCCGGAAGCATTTTATGTCCATGCAGGTGTGCCTGCATCACGAAAAGAATGTAAGTTTTGTATCAACATAACCTTTAATTGTAATTAAATACTGTAAGTTATGAGCCATTGTTTTTCCACTTTTTATTAGTGATAGCAGAGTTTGGTAGAGAAAAGTCAATATTCTTCTATGATATTCTTCTATTCTCATATGATATGTCTATTGGATTCTAGGTCGGCTAACCATATAACATACAAACATACAAGATAGAAATCTTTGGTCAAATAAAGATTCAGTAGATGGAGATGGCTTAGGCAGACTAAAAGGAATGAAATTAATTTAGGTTATGGCCTGTTATAACAACTAAATATAAAGATTAAAGTGAGATTGAAAGGTATATTGTATTCCTGATCTAAATAAATATTAATAACAGTTGTCAAAGTTAATGATCATCGCTAATGTGTTAAGTTTCAGAATGCTGGACCTGAGGTATATAAAGAAAAGAGGGAGGTTCAAATGAAAGCAGTGAGAAGAGGAAATGCATATTATGTTGAATGTAGAAACAGGAAAGCGGCAGCATATATATCAACAGAGAAGGATGCGTGGCAAGGACATGCTAATATCGGAACAATGAAGAGATGGAGAATGAACACTTGGTAATAGTTATAAAAATTAAAGATAAATTGAGTACGGATTGAAAATGTTGCATTAAGGCATAAATGTGTAGAAATATCTATAGGAACTTGGAAATTATAAAAGCAGGAGGAATAATGGGACTGTGGCACAGGGAATTGATTGGGCTAAGAAAGCCAATATCAAAAGGAGGTAAAAGGTATGTCTACTTGCTGATGATTATTTGCCAAAAGAACCATTTGGTTGATTGATTTATAAATGACTAAAGATTTAATATGAAATATTATTGATGAAGGATTTTTTTTATTATAGGAGACTTACAAACATGAGTAATATTTATATGCAAGAGCCAGCCACTAAGGGTAAAGTAACAAGTATCGTTTAATAATATTTCAATGGATTGTATATCTGTTTTTAAAAATTTAACCGATATACAATATTTACTTCCTAAATTTCTATATTAATATATTAAATAATTTCTAATTTGAATTAGAATAATAAATAATAAATTTTAATAAGTTTGATTTTAAAATTATTTTACATTGATCAAAGTAATATATTTGTTATAACTAGGTTGTAATGAAAACAACTGTTGCTGATATTGAGTCAGAATTATGGGCAGAAAAAACTCCAAAAGCATGTAGAAATTTCGTACAATTATGTATGGAAGGTTATTAGGATGACACTATATTTCATAGAATTATCAAAGGATTCATAACACAAGGTGATGATTTCACAGGTACAGGAGAAAGTGGTAAAATATATGGAGAACCATTTAAAGTGAGACTATATTTAAAAATAAAATGAATTCCTTTTTATTTAAAAATAACTAATGGGTATATGTGTTTTAGAACGAATTTCATACAAGATTACGTTTCTGTCGACGAGATTTAATTGCTATGGCTAATGCTGCAAAAGATGACAGTGGTTCCACAGTTCTTCTTTACTCTTGGTTCTACATCAGAATTGTAGAGTAAACATACAATATTTGGTAAGGTTACTGGAGAAACTACATATAACATGCTTAAACTTGAAGGAGCACTTGTAGATGAGGTAAATTTAATGTTTACTGGAAAATATGTCAAGAATTGATATAAATATATTTCCTCTTTTTTGTAGA